ATTCGTCATGCTGCCCCATCACACACCCCATCGAATTCTCAAAGACCGTTAGGTAAAGGATTAATGGCCTACTAGGGACTGGTGATACCAGAATTGGAGCATTGGACAAATATTTCTTGATTATCTCCAAAGTCTTTTGGCACTCGTCATTCCAAACTTTGGGGTTATTCTTTCGAAGCAATTTGAAAACTGGGTCGTATTTCTCAACTAATTGCGAAATAAATCGAGATATATAATTTAACCTTCCCAGGAAACCTCGAACTTCTTTTTATGTACGAGATGGCGAAAGATCTTGAATGGCCTTTACTTTGTCCGGATTGATCTCAATTCCTCTTTGACTAACCACGAAGCCCAAGAGTTTCCCTGACATTACCCCGAAGGTACATTTAGTGGGATTGAGTTTCAATTGATATTTTCTCAATCTTTGGAAAAGCTTCTTCAAGTTTTGAATGCGTTCTTCTTCAGTCTTGGATTTGGTAATCATGTCATCCACATACACTTCAATCTCTTTGTGCATCATATCGCAGAAAAAATTCACCATAGCTCTTTGGTAAGTTGCCCTAGCGTTTTTCAAACCAAATATCATCACTTTATAGTAAAATGTGCCCCCACATAGTCACAAATACGGATTTTCATGTCTTTAATGTTCATTTTTATTTGGTTATAGCCCGAGAAGCCATCTATAAAAGAAAACCATGAATGCCCAGTAGTGTTATCCATTAGAGTATATATATGAGGAAACGGAAAATTATCTTTTGGGCTTGCTCTGTTGAGATCTCTATAATCCACACACATGCAGACTTTTACATTTTTCTTTGGCACTGGGACTATGTTAGCGACCCATTCCGGATACTTTGCTACCTAAAGAAACCTTGCATCTATATATTTCATCACTTCTTCTTTAATTTTTAACATCATTTATGGCCTCATTCTTCTGAGTTTTTGTTGAACTGGCTTACACTCAGGCTTTATCGGAAGCTTGTGCACCACTATGTCTGTACTCAACCCTGGCATATCTTGGTATGACCACGCAAAAATGTCCCTAAATTATAAGAGCATATCTATCAGGTCTCGTCTTATTTCAACTGAAAGAGCACTATCGATCTTTACTTCTCTCTTTTCATCATCAATTTCCAAGTTTATAATCTCAATCTCCTCCTGGTGAGGTAAGATCTGTTTGTCCTCATTTTCTACTAGTCTTAATAGTTCGTTAGGAATATCACATTCTACCTCATCCTGACACTCATTGATTTCTTTTAGACATATAGGCCGGTCCAAGTTTATCTCAGTATTAAATTCAGAAACATTCATTCTATTGATATTATGACACCTGCAAAGGGAAAAAATTGAATCGAATATATATTTGGGAGAAGAGACCAAAATTTATGAAATGAATGTAAAAAATGAAGAATAAAGAATGAAGAATGAAAATGTAAATAATGATGGCCATTTGAGAAACAAAAAATATATCTTTCATTGAAAGCAAGTAGAGTTAACATAACTGCCCTTACAAAAAGATTCCTTAATACTCGCGGGCACAAGTATAAGGATTAGTTCTGGGTATTACTCTGAATTAATCTTAAACACTACAGGGAGATCCTCTGCAGTCCAATTTTTCAACGTTTCTCCTGGGAAACAAGGACGGATTCCAGCCAAATATTTTCCCGCTTTGTTGTCCCTAGTTATCATGTTGATGACCAAACCCTCCATGGCTTCGTCAAACAAGTCTCTGTCTTTCATCTGCTCTCCTTCATCAATTGCTCTGGCTAATTGTCGCCAAGCTGTCGAACTGATTTCTGGCAATACGACGAGTCTCGACTCATTTTGTGAAAACCCAATTTTTGTAAAAGAAATGTTTCGGAGTCGCCATCGACCTTTTGGATTAGGTAGGTCGAATACCTAAAAATTTCTTTTAAAAAAAGTTTTTAAGAAAAACGTCATTTTAAAAGATACACCGATCCATGTGTAACCAGAAATTCATTTTGTAGTAATAAAAAAGGTTCGGGGGTCGATTACGTGTGGGGAAGGATAAGCACCCCATAACGCCCAAAATTGGTACCTATCGATTATATATTGTCTCTAAATAGTAGAAATCTAAGAATTCGAATATATATTTAAATTACGATTCCATTATTCCGAATTCAACCATACAATATTATAGAACAAAAATTCTAAAGAAAAATATAAAATATTCTCTTATTTCCAATTGAAGAGAAAATACTCCTTAAAATACTTTAGGACAAATATTTCTCTTTCTAACTGAAATAAAAAGAATATAATAATTTTCCTAAGGATTCCATATTAAAAACAATTATTCTACCAAAGAAAGAAATTAAATTCATTAATCCTAATTATATTATTAGAAAAGATAAGGGATATTCAATAATTTAAAAATATCGAGACTTAATCTCTAATAAAATTAGCAAATTGTCTCGATAAGTTTAAAATAGTGAATATTTTCTTTTCCCTTCAAAATTAATTAATTTTCAATGCAATAATATTTTTTAGGTTTTTCTAGTGGGATATTTATTTATTTTAAAATATCGGAAAATGACATTTGGTTGTCTTAAGACTACCCCATCTTAATATTTTAAAATACATAAATATTACCCTTAATCCAATAATGTAATCGGTTAAGTTATGTTAATGAGGCTTTTAAACAAAATAAAATATGATACATTGAAACACTTAGAGAAAAAAATATAAATACACATAGATTAAAAGAATAATTTTAAATTTATTTTTAACTTTATTTTACTTTATAAATATAATTATTTTCTAAATATTATATTAAACATAAAACATAATATTTATTCTAAAATATAATAAAAATATAAAATAAAATATTTATATCATGCTATAGTATTATGTACAAAGTAATATATAATAATAATACAAACAAAATAAATATATAAAACATAAAACATACTTAATGGTAAAATAAATAATATACATATGAATCTACTCATTACATGGTGATAAAAATAAATGTATAGTAACCTTAGGATCTTAAACATTAATAAACAAATATCATGGCATGAAACAAGATCATAACCAAAACAGAAGCACTAGCATCATAATAAAACCGTAACTATATGACTAAAATGGAATATCATAAATATCAATACCCAATTTCGAACAAAACAAAAAAAAAATACATACAACAGATGACTAAATTAAAATAATACAAAACCCAACATCTAATTCATAAATCTTAGAAAATAAAAAGAAATGGGGACTAAAACTTAAACGAGCTGAAGCTAGGAGGACCTACGGCTCGATTAACCCTACAAAATGGCTAGAACGCAAATCACATTAAATAGAAAGGACTAAAAGGATGATTTAACCCTAAATCGGTGACCAGAATACGAAACACGCTAAAGGTCTAGGGACCCTAGAGTGGTTTACCCAAAAAACCTAAAATATCAACTCCTTCCCCCCTCTCCAGATTCATTTTGCACGATCCTAAAATCCCCAACTTTTTCTCTCTTTTTTTTCCTTCTTCAACTCACGACAACCTCTCACCCTAAAGAACTGAAGCACCACCGCCTCGGCCACCCTATATGGGTGGCCATATTCTCGTCCGACCAAGGCCCCAAGACATTGGGAAAACACAAAAACAACCTCTCCACTTCAACTCAACCCTCTCATGCAAGAGCCAAGCCTAAGATCGACCACCATACACGGTGGTCCTTCGCTTCCCAGTCCACCTACGAAGCTACCCTTTCCCCGATGATTCTATACACCGGTGTATACCCCAACAGCAAGGTAATCTAATCCCTAAATCTCTGTTTTATTTATTTTATTTTCGAAATAGCATAGAACCAAAAGTAAAAACAAAGATTATAATACCTTCAAGAATTTGATTGCTGAAAAACCGAGAGAAAAAAAGCCCTCCCCTTTTGTTACATAGCTCGGTTCTTATAATCGATTTTACATAGGTTTTTTTTTTTAAAAAAAATAAATAAAAATCCTAGATCTACTGTGGATCTATTGTGGTACCACTGTGTGAATGATGATATGTTTTTAATGCCCCGGATATTCCGGGTTTTGTTGATAACTCTGACAGGCTTGGCCGACTGTGGGAGGAGACTTGGGAAATGGCGGTGCTGTAGGCATGATATCTCTAGGATTAGGATTAGGGGTGTGAAAAATGGTGGCTATAAGTATCAAGTAGTTCACTCTGACTCGTTAAGAACTTGAATCGAATCCATTCGAAATCAATAATTCACGATTTATCTTCTCTCGTTTACGGTTTCACTAATAGTTTCATTACATATCTACAAAAATGGGACAACATAGATTTTTATGAAACAAACAAGGGGAGCGTGTGCCAGACAGCCTTCTATATATGGATATGATACCATTCGAGGTGGCTGTGATTAATTGCCATATAAACCTTTGTCCAATTATGAAAGGGGATGAATCTATATAACAATTTCTAATTCTCATCTGGACCTTCCATTCTCAGCAATTATGGTACATATCAGGTAAATTTAAGCCATTTTTGGCAATCAATTCAATTCAAATATAATTTTTAGTTTTATAATACATGTCGTACCAAGTAATTAGATTTGGACGTAATTGGTTATAATTATATAATTTTAATATATTCGACTATTCGTTATAATTGATCGATTTATCATTATAACTGATGACTTAATCAAGTGTAGTTGACGCTTCGAATTATACTCTTCAATTATTAAGAAACAAATACAAATCGAATACAATATTATGAAATAATATAATTATTATCTAGTAATTACATTTTCTACAATTATTTTGTGGTGTCCAAACACATTATTATATGAAATTCTAATTTTTAAATTTACCTTTTTTTTTTGCCAAATGACAATGTGACTATTAACTAGAGTAAAAAATTAACCATGGTTAGCGTATAATGAGCTACAATTTAAACTTAGGTTAGATTTATGCAATATATAAATAGATGGAAAATTCAACCTTTTTCATATAACCATTAAACAATAAACAGCAGTATTATATTATTATACTTAGAATTCTCACAATTCAGGTTTTGGGGATTGTTTAATTAATTTATTTAACCTCTCGGTTTAAAAATCCGCAAAAATCAGAATTGAAGTGGGAATTCTTCAATGCCTTCTCTGAGATTGAATTTTTTTGTAAATGGGTATTTTTTCCCTTCCCTTTCTTTTAATTGCCCTTGCATGTTTAGTATATTCTGTTTGTTTTACTTTGCATGTAATTCTTTTGGATTTTTTTTCAAGGCATTGATGCAAAACCTGTGAGAAAGAGCTTTTGGGGTTTTAATCTGAAAAGTAGATATTGAAGAAAAGGTACATTTTGAATGTAAAATGTGTAACTAATGAATGGATTTTACTGCAATCTCGAATACTTTGTTGAATTGTCGGTTTCGTTATTTTTAACAGAATTCAAGTTGATCTTGAACTGGATTCTTTGTTTTAATTTTTTATTTGTTTGCTATGGATTGTGCTTACAACATTCAATGTGGATTTTTGGTTTAAGGGAGTTCTGATTTGGTGTTTGAAGTGAAGCTTGAAAAGTAAAAACTGAGAATTCAATTTTTGTTTTACTGAACAATGATATTTGTTGTTTCCTGAAGAAAACTTTGGAGGGATCAAATGAAGAAAAGAATTTAGCAATAGCCATTTGAGTTTATAAATTGACAGATTCCATGTTTTCCTTTCCATTGATTGTTAAGTTCTTGTTAACTATATGACATTTGTGATCACATTCTCTCCAATGTTTTGTTTTGGTATCCATAACAATTATTTTGAATGTTTGGTACTCAAGTTCGTTAAGATTTAAAATGACTTCTGTTTTTTGCAATGTGTTGTTTCCAAATACATTGTTTTTATCTTAAAAGTTCGGTACTCTAGTTTCTTTAGCTTTTAATGCATGATTTCCCGCGCTTTAATCGTTTTCAAGATTAATGTGCAACCTTCCCGGTGTTTTATTCGTTGTTTCCATTATGCAGTTTGTTGGCTCCATACTTGTTTAAGTTATTTTGAATATTCGGTACTCTAGCTCCTTTAGCTTTTAATGCATGACCTTCCCGATCTTTATTCATTTTCAAGATTAATGCGCGACCTTCCCATTGCTTTACTCGTTATTTCCGTTATGCAGTTTGTTGGCTCCATACCTGTTTAGGTTATTTTGAATATTCAGTACTATAGTTTTGTTCTTATCTTAAAAGTTCAGTACTCTAGTTCCTTTAGGTGTTGAAGCATGACCTTCCCGCGCTTTATTCATTTTCAAGATTAATGAGTGACCTTTCCTGTGCATTATTCGTTATTTCCGTTATGCAGTTTGTTGACTCCATTCTTGTTTTGGTTATTTTGAATGTTCGGTGTTATAGATCCTTCCTTTACTTTTTAATGCCTGACCTTCCCTCACATTATTCGTTATTTCAGTTACGCAGCTGGCTGTTTCCAAATCTATTTTGATAGTTTCTGAATGTTCGGTACACTAGTTCATCGAGTTTTGAAATAAATGACCTCCCGTGCTGTTTTCTTTTGTCAGTTAATAAATTTCGGTAAAGACATTTTTCCCCTCTTTGGTATCAAAATGTGTTGTATGCTGTTGTTGGAAGTTCCGCAATCAATTTCATTGCATGGTAAATGATTGACTGCCCTGCACATATTTCTTTAATTAGTTAATTGGTTCCCAAATAAAGAGTTTTTGGAATATTTGGAAATCGATTGATCTCAATATTGCTTCTTTTATTTATTTATTACTTGTGCCGGAACCAAATTTTGATCTCATTCTATGCATCGCTTTCGAATCAGTAATGCTCAAGTTTGTGAAGTTTGATGGGAATGACCTTCTGCATTCGTTATTGTTTCTTTGTTTGTACTTATTGCTTGATTGAAAACCAAAAAATTTCGTGTCATTATTTTTCTTTTTTGCTGAATGAGGTTCCTTATATTGGATTCATTGACCACTAGTTGTCTTTCACGATTAATTTCATGGAGAAATTTTAAATTTCTTATTAAACATTTCAATTATTTTTAAATGTTGAAATCTTTACTGATGTTGTATTGGTGGAAAAATTCAGATAATTAACTGAAGAGGGAAATAACAAGCAGTTGGAGGCAATCAGAGAGTTACTAGCATAAAGTAATATGGACTGTAATAAAGATGGGGCCATTAGAGCTAAAGCTGAGAAAAAACTTGCTGAGATGGATGCTGTGGGGGCAAAAAGATTTGCTCTGATGGCTAAAAATTTGTTCCCTGAGCTCGATGTTCTTCCCCAGTTGCTTGCAGCTCTTGACGACTGACGTATACATATCCGCCGATGAAAAGATCAATGGAGAAGTTGACTGGTACAGGGTGCTTGGTGTTCAGCTGGATGCCAATGAGGAAACAATTCGAAAACATTACAGGAAGCTGGCTCTTATTCTTCATCTGGACAAAAACAAATCTGTTGGTGCAGATGGGGCTTTCAAAATTCTATCTCAAGCTTGGACTGTGTTATCTGATAAAGCAAGGAGAACTGCTTATGACGAGAAACAGAACTTAAGGGGCAGTTATTTGGATGTTTTACATGGGAAACCATCAACAGAAGCGACCAGCTCTAATGGTTTTCATGACTTCTTCAATGTTAATAATTCAAACACTGTTGATCAAAACGGTGCTACTTATTCCAATCCTGCTCCTCCTCACTCAGCAAGAAGCGATACGTTTTGGACAACTTGCTATGCCTGTAAGATGAATTTTGAGTACTCCAGAGTTTATGTCAACAAGAATCTTACTTGTTGGAAGTGCCGGACACCCTTTTTTGCTGCTGAGATATTGACCCCATCTATAAATGGCAATAGTAAGTACACTCCATTGTCGGACTTCGTGCAGCAACAGAAGTTCCACCAGGATCAAAATGCAGGATGAGACAGATTTTCTGGCTTGGGATCATCTAAAAAAATTTCTCAGACAGGTGCATTTCCCGGATCAGCAAGTAACATAAATGTGGCACCGCCATCTTCTTTTGCAACTCGAGCTGCTGGTGACACTCATTCAGCCAGTGAAATATTAAATAGAAAGCGCAATGAATGAAAGGCAGGTACCAGAACGGGGAAAGCGTGTAGATTAGAGTTCCTTCTCATAAAACACATGCTGGTTCAGGTACTGGGTCTTCGGGTTCTGTTTCCCGTTCTGCAGCAAAAAAACCCAGGTCTAAGAAGAGGCACACTGGCACAACAGAGATAGGAAATCCAATGGCAATGGGAAATGAAGGGGCTAGTCTTTCTTCTATTCAAAAGAATGGTTCCAAAATATGAAAGACGGATGCTGCTGGAATCTCTAGTAATAACATAAAGGAGCCTCCACGTCTGGGAATTCGGAATATGTTGATGGAGATGGCTAGGAGAGAAATCTGCAAGAACAAAAATTCATGGACCCCGGCTTCTTTACCAAATACTTCCAATAAACCTAAGGTTTCAGATGAAGAGATCGAGGAGCAGAATGAAGGAAACAGAAAAGATGCTCCAAGTAAGAAACCCGGTGCACAAAAATCCAGAGAGTTTGTTGATATCAAGTCTAGCATTCAGACCAAAATGTCCTCCGTTGTCGATTCTGACGTTGATCCTGCTACAAGGGGACCTGAACCTGTGTCAATGAGTGTTCCTGATCCAGATTTTCATGATTTCGACCAGGATCGCACGGAAAAGTCGTTTGGTCAGAACCAGGTTTGGGCTGCTTATGATGATGGGATGCCTCGTTATTATTTTATGATTCATAGTGTGATATCATTAAAACCATTCAAGATGCGGATGAGTTGGCTCAATTGTAAAAGCAATGCAGAATTGGGTCCACTAAACTGGATCGGTTCCGGCTTCTTCAAAACTAGTGCGGAGTTCTGGATAGGCAAGTACGGAGTTAACAGGTCTCTGAATTCTTTCTCACACAAGGTGAAGTGGTCAGAAGGCCGAAAAGGAGTGATTCAAATATAACCCCGGAAGGGTGATGTTTGGGTTCTCTACAGGAACTGGTTCTCTGAATGGAATTCACGTACACCGAGCGATGTGATACACAACTATGACATGGTTGAGGTGCTTGAAGATTACAATAAGCGAAATGGTGTTTCTATTTCTCCGCTTGTTAAGGTGCCGGGTTTCAAGACAGTGTTTTGCAAGCATTCGAAACCAAGTAAAACCTGGGTGATCCCGAGAGAAGAGCTGTTTCGTTTCTCTCACCAGGTCCCTTTTTATTTGCTCACAGGTCAAGAAGGTCAAAAGTCTTGTGAGGGCTGTCTCTAGCTTGATCCTGCTGCTACTCCTTTAGAACTTCTCCAGGTATTCACTGAAGATCAGGTGAAAGCAATGGAGACGATGATTGAAAGTAGGGCTGTAAAATCAGGTAATCGGTCAGGTTTCAGTCGGATCTTGGCAGGTCGGGTAAAATCGGATACAGGTCAATTCAGGTTGATTTGATACCAGATCCAGATCGGGTTCAGGTCAGGTCAAATCAGTTCGGGTTATTTTCAGGTTGATTTGACATCAGATCCAGATCGGGTTCATGTCGGGTCATTTTCAGTTCGGATCGATGTCAGTTCAGGTAAAAACAATTCAGGTCCGAAGCAGATAAAGACCAGGTTAATTCAGGTTCGGGTTGACTTCAGTCGGATCTCGTTCAGATCGGGTCACATCATTGACAGATAAAATTCAGGTCGGATGTTTATCGGATACGGATTGAGTTCAGGTCGGGTCGTTTTTGTTTTTTTTGGATTAATTATTTTGTCATATTTCGTGATTGTTGAATTGGAAGTTGTAATTGTATATGATTTCGAGTAAAATAAGAGAAAAATAAATATTCATGGATCAATTTTGTAAAAAAATATAAATTTAATGACAAAATTGAAGAAATGAAAAATTACAAATAAAATCTTAAAATATAAATTAAACAACACACATAGGTAAGGGACTAAATCGAAATAAATTTAAAATGCGAGGTTTAAATTAATGTAAAAAATGACAAAATTGAATACATTTAGAAAATTATGGGCCAATTACAAAATATAAATAAATAACAACTAACAATGGAATATGCAAATATAAATTTAAGGACTAAATTGAATACATATAAAAGTTAAAGACTTAAAATTGAAATAAATTAAAAAAACACAAAAGGGTTAAATCGAAATAAATGTAAAATATGAAGAAATAATGAAAATATACTAACTTGCATTCATTCAAAAAAAAATGAAAAAAATATTATATATATATATAATATAAAATTATATATAAACTATATAATTATTATAAACTATATATATAAATTATATTTATGTGCACTATATATAAAACTATGTATATAAAATTATAAACTATATTTATATTATAAACTATATAATTATTATAAGCTATATATAAATTATGTTTATGTGAACTATATATATAAACTATGTATATAAACTATATATGTATAAACTACAAAAAATATATAGTTTATAAAATATTATATATATTAATATACTATATATATATATAAACTATATATGTATAAACTATATAAACTATATAGTTTATATGTTATAATTTATATTACTATAGTATATATGTATGCATAACTAATATAAGTATATATAGAATATATATATATATATATATATATATATATATATATATATTAAAGAAATACTATACATAAACTATATAAAGTAATAAATTATATAGTTTATAAAAATCCTAAACCCTATATCCTAAAACATAAACCCTAAATCCTAAACTTTATAAACTATATATGTATAAATACATTTAATAATTCATATATAGTTTATATAAACAATAGATTATATAAATTATACATGTAACATTAACCTATAGTCTATAAACAATAGTTAATATATGTAACTTATAGTATGTGTATACATGTAATGTAAACTATATATGTAACTTATAGTATATGTATACATGTAATGTAAACTATATATGTAACTTATAGTACATGTATGTATAAACTATGTATAATATATATATAAATTATATAAAGTAAATTACTTATATAGTTTATAGAAACAATATGCATAAACTATATAAATTAATAAAGTATATAATATATAAAAAACTCTAAACCCTAAACTTGATAATCTAAACCTAAACTTTAAATCCTAAACCTTAACCCTTACATCATAAATCCTAAACCATCTAGTATTTGTTTCTGTTCGTTTATTTATTAAATATAGTATTTGTTCAAAATTTTTCTTGGTCATTAACAACGTACATATACTCTACAAGCATAACTATTCAAACATGATACCTCTAGGGAGAACAATACTCTCTTTTACTATTGAAGTCACTCAACGAGTTCTAAATTTACATATAGTTTAGATTTTTTTTGTATTTTCTATTGATAACATGTTTTCGTCCCCTAAAATATTATAAATTATCTCTCCTAACATAAAATTCTACATCGATCTATCTATTAGATCATTTGTACTGTATAATTTCAAATATAATCGTGATATTTAATTATTAGGGTAAAGTATACAAATGGTACTTCGACTGTAGGATATTATTTTATTGAGTCATTTGACTATTAAAAGTTACAAAATGATCTCCAACTATAGAGAGTTGCATTGTTGAGTCCCTCGACTAATAAATGTTACAAAATGGTCACTCAATTATTTATTATGTTCCAAACTCGTCATTTTCTGTTAAAAAAGTAACAATCGTATGAGTTGGACGTTAACATGTTGATTGAGATATGATAGTCGTTCGAGATTATAATATCATATTTTATCATAATTCATATAGCAAGTTAACTTCCAGCTCATACTGTCGTTAATTTTTAAACAAAAAAGGACGAATTTGGAGCATAATGATTAGTCAGGTGATCATTTTGTATCTTTTAAAAGTCGAGGGACTCAACAAAGCAACTCCCTATTATGGGGGACCATTTTGTAACTTTTAATAGTTAAATGACTCAAAAAAATGTTATCTAATAGTTGGGGAATCATTTGTGTACTTTACCCTAATTATTATCGCTTTCTCTTACCTTCTTTGTATATGATTTTTGCATGGCCAACCTTTCTCCAGACTCGGTCCCACATTAAATAGTTATAAAAGCAGCATTAACTTTTCCAGATGGTATAGTAATTACAGGGACCACATTAAATAATCTTGTCTGAAAATTAAAAAGTCCCATTACTCCACCTATACCGCCA